GGAGATTATAGCTATCAGGAAAACAAGAAATGGGGAGGGAGTTCCACAGGCGAGAAGTGTGAGACATGAAGCTATCGGAGTAGAAGAGACGGCTACATTTAACAGTTTCAACAGTGAAAGGATGAGGGCAAGATGCTAGCCTAGTAGAACACTTAAATTTATGAAATCTGAGAACCAGCAAAAGCAGCTCATCGGAGCAATTACCATGAAAGTATTTGTAAAAAAGACAGAGGGAGACAACGGTACATCTGTGAGAGAGCGGAGGCAAACGAGATGCCAGATCAGGGCCAATTACATTGCATATCCGTCTCTGGATTTTATCAAGCACCTTGAGACAATTATGGCAGCTATACTCCATGCAAGGGCGAATGGTTGATTTGTAGATTCGAAGGATTGACTCCGGCGAGAAAAATTTAAACGTAGCCAGCCAAAATTATGCCTTGACCTGTCAGCAGGGTTTAAAATATGCATCCCCTGCAGAGGGATAAGACCTCCATCAAGAATGACCACATTCTGGGTTGATAAATGTAGACGCTGGTATAGACCATATCTATGATTATTTCTTTATTCAAACATAAACCAGAACTATGTCACCTATTTTCTTTTTACTAGTATAAACCAGACTAATGTTTTTACTCTTGTGTAAGCTGTAACTATGCCTAACTATTTTTACTCGTGTTTAAACTGGACCTATATCTACGTATTCGACCCTAAACTGGACCTATATCTACGTATTCGACCCTAAACTGGACCTATATCTACATATTCGACCCTAAACTGGACCTATATCTACGTATTCGACCCTAAACTGGACCTATATCTACGTATTCGACCCAAAACTGGACCTATATCTACGTATTCAACCCTAAACTGGACCTATATCTACGTATTCGACCCTAAACTGGACCTATATCTACGTATTCGACCCAAAACTGGACCTATATCTACGTATTCGACCCTAAACTGGACCTATATCTACGTATTCGACCCTAAACTGGACCTACAGAGTGCGATTGATAAATTGTCGTTTAAATTACACAAAAGTAAAAATAACACTGTCACCTCATTTTAACAGAAATATTTGCCAAAATTGCACAAAAATGTCTCCAGACAACTTTGGAATCTCTTGCAACTTTTCTGGATGATCTCTTTATTTAAGTTGGTGAATGCTGCCATATCCTTGCTTTCAGTTCATCTTTGGTATTACAAGGAGTTTTGTTGGTCTCTCGTTAAACTGCTCCCCGCACATAATAATCAAGGGGGTTGCAGTCTGGGGAGTTAGGTGACCAGATATAAGTGGTGATGTGGTCACAGAAATTGCCTGACAGTCATTACTGGGTTCTCCTGCAGGTGTGGCATGGTGCAGAGTCCTGTTGCCAGGCATAGGGTCTTCCAGCAGCCACCTCCTTGACCCAGGCCAGCACTAACCTGTCAAGGCACTTGATGTAGGCCTCTGTGTTGAGTCTGAGGCCCTGTAGGAAGATGAAGGGAAGCATAGCATCACCATCACTAGTGATCATTTCAAACACCTTCATAATCATCATTAGACTAATCCAACTCTTTCTGAATTCTCTGCATTGTCTTCAGATTTATACCCAAACACTCTGAAATGTTTGTATTGGAGCTTCTGGCCCTAATTCCAAGTAGTACTGTATGCCATTTCTAAATTTCTAGCAGAGTGAATTACGTCATGGTGCTCTTTTTCTCACAGACAGTGTCCAATTGACCCTACTACACTGTGCAGTCGACAAAATCAAAAATAAGCAATGCGCATGCATGAAATTTAAAATATAAAAGTGGTGACAATTTACCCATCGCACCCTGTATATCTACCTTTTTGACTCTAAATTGGACCTAAATATGTACCTTTTTAACTGTAGTATAAACTGGTCCAATGTCTACCTTTTTTACCCTAAATTGGACGCATATGTACCTTCTTAACTGTAGTATAAACTGGGCCAATGTTTACCTTTTTGACCCTAAATTGGACCTAAATATGTACCTTTTTAACTGTAGTATAAACTGGGCCAATGTCTACCTTTTTTACCCTAAATTGGACCTATATGTATCTTTTTAACTGTAGTATAAACTGAGCTAATGTCTACATTTTTGACTAATCTTTTGCCTTCTATCAGCATGGCTGATGCTAACTTCCAGTTGGTTGATTCATTGCACCAATTAAAGCTAACATTTTCCATTGGCAGGAAGTGGAAAGATTTTATTAAATCAATTGTTAAGTCTACTGCTAGGAAAGTTGGTTCATTTTTGACTAAAATGTTTTTCCCACCAGAATCTATCTTACATATTTGTAAGTCTACTATTCATCCATACATTGAATATTGCTAACACATCTGATCTGCAGATACATACAAGTATATACATAAAAAAATACTCTCTAATTTCAGCAGACTGATTTAAAATCCAACAGACACCAAACGGCTCTAATATATATAAACAAACAATACAGCGCAATCTCAGTTCTCAAATGTCTCACGCATTGGACAAATCAGTTTTTGAACAGAATATTTGAAATGAAAATGCCTCAGTTGTCAAACAAAATTTTGGTTCTTGAACAACATTGCTGAACCAAGTTAACAGAATTATTTCTTAGTCGATGGCCATCTTGTATATATTTGTGTGTTGTGCTGTGCTTTTCTTTCCAATTTTATTGTACTGTGCCTTTTTTCTTCTCTTCATTAGTCCTCAGTCATGGCTCCAAAGAAAGCTAGCACTGATACTGGTAAAGAAAAAAGAAAAGTTAATTGTTGATGATATTGTCTCTATGATGACGATATTGTTTCTTCCTTCTCAGTTTCATATTTCAAAATCAACGATCTATACTATTCTTATAAATAAAGAGACAATTGTTGCAGTTTTTGGGGTATTATGTACTAGTGAGTTCGCCCAAATGACTTGACTCACTTTATAGTCCACCAATAGAAGGTTAACCAATCAGATGACGTAGAATATACAATCCGTCGTGTATAAAGGCGGCCATTTTGTTTACTCTACCCGAATGTCCAGTTCCAGCTTGTCAGGCGAAGAGAAACAGAAGGATGAACTACGCTCTGCTACTTTTACCAAAATATCCACTGCTAACCTAAACAACATTTTCCTACTGTCTTCGAAATATTCACTGCTAACCTCTGGATTCTATATTCAAAGACAACCGTCATCATGAACAACAACGATCATGTCTTTCATATTCTCAAATATTGCAATAACAATCATAAATATGAATGCTGGTCATTATTTAAAGAAGTAAGGGGATACAAATGAAAAGTTTTGAAATTGACAGATTTTTTCATTTCACTGTAGCAGACGTTAAATACTTCTATCTTCTTTTCTTTCTTTCTTTCATTTTCTCACTGAAACCAAGTAATATCTGATTTGTCCTTTCTATCATTCCATGAGATCATCATCCTGGGTAAGACATTAAACTACATCCGCATCCTGGGTAAGACGATAAACTACATCCAGCAGCAAGGTCTCTGATCAGGAGGTTTTGAGGAGAGTGGAACCACCTCTTAATTGCTGGTGTTCCCAGGTCCACCCTGACCTGGGGTGGTAGCACCTGTTAGGGTCCCAGCTATGGGCAAATAGTTAAGTATTACCAATTACTAGCAATAGTTTTTTGAAAAAAATTATTACCAGCAATACAATTTTGAAGGAAAAATATTAACATAAACAGATTTTTGACAAAACAAAATATTACCAGCAATAAAAAATTTTGTCAGCATTAATTAATCCATTGAGGTTGATATGCCATAAAACAAAATAAATCAAACTAATCTAAAGAATACATATTCTATTCATACGAAACTATCCTAAAAATGTTGTCGGCATTAAATAACGCATTTAGGTTAATATGCCATAAAACAAAATAAACCAAGCCATCCATGAGATCAAAACAAAAGTCGATTATTTATTAAGTATTTGGCAGGGTGTAATGGTCATGCTAACTAAGGGAGGGACAGGTAGAATTATAATATGACTAGTACGAGACATGAAAATTTTCTGGTTTTCCTATTTGAATTTTGTTTTCTTTCTTTTTCTCACTGAAACCAAGTAGTGTTTATGATATATCTTCTCCATCTTTCCATGCAATCAAAGTGGAATATTTATGAGGTATTGGCAGGGTGTAATGGTCATGCTAAGAGAGAGACAAGCAGAATAATAATAAGATGGTTTGCATCTTTGCTGTATTTATTCGTCTTTTAAATTTTGCACAACATGGAGCCCACCCTGTCCCAAAAAATAAATATCAGAATCTATTAATGGCTATTGTAATTTACTAACAACTCTAAGGAGAAGTTTATGAAGGTTTTTTTTTACTAATTCCACTTTAGCGCTGAAAAACGTGTATTTTATAGTGATGGATAATTACAAGCAACAGGTGAGATAAGGTGTGCTTATTTTATTACCATACTTAGAAAAAATAATGATTGCTATTCAAATAAAACCATCAGTCAGTCTGCATGAAGCCACAGTTTGCCCAACCCTGAACTCGGACTCAGATGAAACAGGACAAGCAATAACTGAGCAATACTAAATAAGAATAAGATGAGACATCCCTAGACATGAGCAGTGAAACGAGAAAAATCTTGAAACGAGAACAATCTACTTCTCATTGATTAAAAAAAGGGTTCAGTTTGAAATTTTCTGAAGGTTATCCAGATCAACAGACATCTGTAGTCCAGATTGTTTTGATAACAGCAATAAAGATGTGGAAATTAGTCCAGCTGTGATGTAAATAATCTAAGAGTATTTTGATGAATTTAACAGTCGAAGAAGAATAGGTCTAAAAAATGATAAAAAAGAAGAAAAAGAAATTGGTCAAGACTAATAATAAAGTTGGTGTGGCAATAAAACATTACTTGGAATATTTAATTATTTATTATGCTTTTTAATTTTGGAAATTAAAAAAAAAAAAATCACTAGTTTAGCCATTCTTCCAATAAAAATCAAATTATTCTTCCACAATCAATTAAAATACGAACCTCACTCTTCAGGATATCTGCTACAAAAGATGGAGCTGACTTTGGCAACACAATCAGGATTGGCATATTGAGTTTACGAGCTGCATAAGCAGCAGCCAATCCTGCATTTCCTCCAGAGGAACAAGCAAACTTTTTGGCACCATTTTCTTTTGCCTAAATGTAAAAAGAAAACATTAAAAAAATTAATTTTCCCTAAAAGATAACAGATAAACATAAACAAAATTCATTTACTCTAAACATTAACAGAAAACAAACAAAATTCATTTTTCCCTAAAAGTAAACAAAAACATAAACACTGTAATGACAAGAGTATGCAGGCGTAGGCTTTAAGAAAGCTTTATTCAACTGAGAATACAAGGTTCGTGTATAGTGTCCTTTTAAAGTCCCAGTAAACAGAAATAGCTCTCTCAAAGAGGAGAGTAATGAAACAAGGGGAGAGCACTCTTGATTATTCATAAAAAACAACTATTTTGCCCCTAAAAGTAAACAAAAACAAAATTTACTTTACCTAAAAGTAAACAAAATTCTTCTTTTTTCTGCCACCCTGAAAAAATATATAAAAAATTCTTTTTTGCCTAAAAGTAAACAAAAATAATGAACAAAGTTTGTTTTGCCCAAAAGTAAACAAAAATATAAGCAAAATTAATTTTACACTAAAAGTAAACAAAATTTATTTTGCCTAAAATTTCTCTCCCCAACAAGTGAACAAAACCCTAACCCAAATTTCTTATTTCCTAAGAAAATAGAAATAAAAATGTAATAAACAACATTTTTCTTTCTTAAATGTAAACAAAAGAATTGTTCTACTTAGAAGTAACCAAAAACAAAGCAATTTCATCCCTAAAATACATACAAAACCAATGCAAATTAGTCATTCCTGAAAATGAGCAAAGACAAAGCAAACTCCCTAAAAGTAAACAAAGTAAATTTATTCCCCTAAAAGTAAACAAAAATATAAAAACAAATCTATCCCTTAAAAGTAAACAAAGTATCTACCCCTCTAAGTAAACAAAACATAATACAAATTTATTCCCCCTAACTAGAAATGAAAAACATAAAGTAAATTTATCCCCTAAAAGTGAACAAAAACAAAAAGATTCCCACCCCCAAAGTAAAAACAAAAAAACAAGTTCCAAGAGGAGAGTAATGAAACGAGGGGAGACCACTCTTGATTATTCATAACAAACAACTATTTAGCTCCTAAAAGTAAACAAAAATAAAATTCACTTTACCTAAAAGTAAACAAAATTTTTCTTTTTTCTGACACCCTAAAAAATATATAAAAAATTCTTTTTTGCCTAAAAGTAAACAAAAAAAATGAACAAAGTTTAAACAAACAAAAATAAACAAGCAAAATTAATTTTTCCCTAAAAGTAAACAATGACAGTAATGGCTGCCACAACACAATTGATTCCAATTCAATTATCTTGCCTAAATGTGAACAAAAACAAGAAATTCTAAAAAAAAAAAAACAATTCCCTCCACCCAAGGAAACATAAAAATATACACAAAAAAATTGTTTCACCTAAAAGCAAACAAAAACATTTATGTATTTTGTGTTTTTGAAAAGTAAAGAAAAGACATTTGTTTGCCTTAAAAGTGAATAAAAACAGGAGGAACCCATTTTCTTTAAATAGTAAACAAAATATAATCAAAATTTGTTTTGACTAAAAGGCTTACTAGGAACTCCTCTTTGAGTAGCTTTAGCATATTTGTGTTACCATACAGCGCAGCACTGCTTAGACTTTTAGGTAACCCAAGCCATGTTCTCAAAGCACATAATATTTGCATATTATTTGGAATGCACCTTTTGTCTCTGAAAATCTTGCAAAGAGGAGAATGACATTCCAACTTATGGTGAAAAGGGTGTAAGACTAAAAAGGTTGAGAACCAATAACCCACAGCATCATCAACCACTAGAAACTTATATGAAATGATTATTAAATTCAGAGAACTGCATTAACTATGCCAGTGTAAACAAGTGTTCGTGTGCCACACCCAGCACCACCACTGCCCAGTGAATTAATATTAGTAAGAACTTAGCAAAATATGTCATCATTTTAATGTATCTACTGGACATAAAGCGAGGGATCATTTTGCTCTATGTATTAAGCGAGGAACTGTTTCTCCGAGAATAAACTACATGTAAGTAAACCACAAATTTTCCCACCTACTTGGTTCGAGAACCTTACCAAATTATCTATTTTCTGACCCACTGATTATGAATCTCTCATATCTCTACAGCATCATCGAATGTTATGAAACTTATATTGAAGCATTGACAAGTTGAGAGAGCTGAACCAACTTAAGTCATTGTAAACAAATGATTGCACAGCACATTAAACAACAATTACAGCTGACCAATAGATTTAGTCTGGTAATCGCATGAATTCAAATGCTTGCTTGTAATCTTGTCCAGATTAAAAAAGGTACCAAACCAGTGGCAGACAGGCCAGGGTGCTAGTTTCCACAGGTAATTTGCTTTTTAAGCCCCATGCTAAGTATCTAATAAAAATTTCCTGAATAGTCATATTTAGGTATAAATGTACATGATTAATTCAAGAATAACAAAGAAATTTTGATAAAATCTACCATTTTGGAGTTATCAGCAATAAAACTTCAAATTCATTTGCGTTACGGTACGGCAGCCACTACTGGAGTTGTTTGTATACATTCACCGCTTTCACTGATTAGATTCACGTAGAAGATTACCTTGTTAACAGCCTTTTTACTGCACTTACTTGTCTCTATTACTGTGCAAGTGAGGACTCATTGCACATGCAATCATCAATACAAGTGAATGCTAAATCCACAGTTAATATATGCAAACAATGACAGTAATGGCTGCCACAACACAAGTGAGTCCAAACTTCTATTGTAGATAACTCCAAAATGGAAGATTTTACCAAAATTTCTTTGTTATTTTCGAATTAAGCATGTACATTTACACCTAAAAATAACTATCCTGGAAATTTTTATTAGATACTTAGCACAGAGCTTAAACAGCAAATTACCTGCTTGTCCAATGGCATGTGGGCCCCTGATGGAGTGGACCCCCTACATCAAATAAAAACACAATAAAGAAAAAAAAGCCAACAACTATTTTAATAATAAAAAGGAATAAGAATCAAGTCATCTACGCACTATAGTCAATTCTGATGTGATGGAGTGGGCCCCTTATATCAAATAAAAATGCAATAAAGAAACAAACACAAATAACTGTTTTAATAATAAAAAGGAATAAGTCATTTGCACACTATCTGTTACTCAATACTGATGTGAGAGGTCATTTTAAAAAGATAAAGATCATAAAGACAAGATTAAGACATTCGCTGCCTGAGGAGAATTTGAAATCATACACGTTGCTATCCAATGAAAATGAATTGTTAGATGAATTGGATGCAGAAGCAATTATTGGCACATCATCTAGAGAACACAAATGATTGCTCTTAATATGGCGGACTGCATGCAATGCTCTATTATGCTTTTGAACTATCTGTTAATGTGCAAATTGTGCAGTAAACTACTTTAAAATATCAAAATATGAAAATTAAATGATAGCATTGTAGTTGTGGTTGGGTCCTCTTTGTCTTTGGGCAACCAATATTTTTAGACCAAATACACCACTCTACTGAACCATCAGTTGCTGGAAATTGGTGGTGTACATGTAATATTAAAATATAGAAACTTACCTTCTGACAGAAGTATCCAATTCCACGGATCTTAAATGAGCCACAGGGCTGAAGATTATCGAGTTTCATGTAAGTCTCAAATCCAGTGAATTTGCTGATTGACTCACTTAAAATACATGGTGTATTGTAATGCAACGGAGCTGCCTTTGAGCCATCAGCTTTAGTTGGTGTTTTGTTGCTTTCCATTTCTAAAGAGAAACTATAAAATGTTGATAAATAAAACATCAATCAAGGATATGAACAACATTTTTAATATAGTCTTCTTTTTTTATTATCTCTACTAAACCTTGTTTTGTCACCAATTTACTCAAACTCATTACATAGATTACATATTGTTTCCATTTTCTCCAAATGTAGTTCATAATTGCACAAGTGGGCAAATAGCATGGCAGCTTGGCCTTGGTTGGCAGCCAGTATAAGAGAAAGACTACTATGCATTCAAAACAAAATTTTTAAATACAGCTGTCAAATCTGTTATATATATATATATATAGTGATTTTCCAAGCGTAGCTTAGATGTGGCACAAAACCGAAAGTATAGGATACCCAGTGAGAATCGAACTCACTACTCAGTCGTAATTGTTCTAGCGAGACAAGCTTGCTAACCATTACACCACCTTGAGAGCCCTAGATTTTTCCAATCGTAGCTTAGATGTGGCACTAAACCAAAAAGCATGGGGCACCCAGTGAGGATCGAACTCACTTTTAGTAGTAACTGATCTAGCATGACAAACTTGTTAAGGTGCCCATTACACCACAATGAAGGTATGCACCTATATATATATATATATATATATATATATATATATATATATATATATATATATATATATATATATATATATATATATATATATATATATATGTCAAGGTGTGTCATCTGCATAACTTAATTGAAATTGTTCAAGCACATTAAGTGTTTGAGATATATGCATACTAGATCTATATTTACAATAAATATCATTTAATAGTATATTATTACTAGATATCATATGTTTTTATCAAGTTATGTTTGTTCGTATCTCTTTTTCTTTATTTCTATCTCAACCTAGTCTATTTTTTTTATCTGCCTACTTTTTATATCTAAGCTTTTATTGCACATTTGATAATGAACTGGTTTGAAATGTTATTAATTCCACATTTTATATCTCATAACAGTCTTGGCTTGGTTTATTATGATCTACAAATTATATATCTAAAAAATATACCTTTACTCTATAGAATTATGTACAAACAATCTGTAGTTGAAAGTATAAAATTGCATGTAGGATATTTAGATTTCAGCATTAAATAATTCCTAGAGGTGTTGATATGCCATGAAACAAAATCAATCTATCATTACGTAACTTGTTTTTACAGCCTTTTTTTTTTATAGATTCTTTATAGATTCTGGATTTATGAACGAAGACATTTTTATATTTTATTTTTCTCTCTATTTATTTTCTATTATTCTTTCCTATTTAGATTTGCTAAGGAACGAAATATTTATACTCAGAATATAGGAAAGAGCAATACAAATGCAAACGGATGCACACCTATATTATATAGATTATGTGAAATCATTTGATAAAGTACATCACAAAGAACTGTTAGGTAAGGTTGATATCAATCAGTGATATGCCATGCATGATACACTCTTAGGTGATCATGTATCTTTCAATACATAACTGACGAGGCAGATATTATTCCCGCAGTAGGTTGCTATTTCTTTCTGCGTTGGACAAGTTGCCATACAAGGCTATAGAACCTGCTCTATCCTGCTATTTAACCATAGCTAGTAGGAGAAGAAGAGGATTCATACCTTTCCCAAGGGTATTAGTACATAAGTGAATGTAACGGCTTCAGCTGGAATTTGAACTCAGCCCTCCGATTCCTCAATCCAAGCCGCTATACATTACTCCATTGCGTCTCCTGCCATTTGATATACCTGTGAATAATCCATAACCCATACTAGCAGCAAACAGCTTGCATACAGAGAAAAAATGAAATCAGGAAATATTACAGGCTTACAGATACGTCACATTAAAACACCAGTTCCCATACAATCACCAAAGTTAAGCAACATTGAGCCTGGTCAGCACCATAATGGTTGACAACTTGACAATACCAGATGCTGAAAGCTTGGATGTGCAGGTGGTGTAACAGATAATGGCTCAGATTTGTTAATCAGAGAGCTGAGTTCCAATTCCAGTTTTGTTCATTATATTCACTTATGTGCAAATACCATTAGGAGAGGTATTAAAATACGTCTTCTCCATCACCATCTATGGGTTAATTTGTAAAACTTGTATCACTAAATCATTACTATCTCAAAAAAAAATTCTTCTAAAAATATTTTCTGGCTTTAAAGAGTTTATAAGCTGTACAAAATAAATCAATTTTTACAATGAGGCAATTCTGAGAGAATTAGAAGTAAGAAGAGAGATAGTGAAAAGCAAAATTTACTAAAAGCTACAATAGACAGGAAATTGTGGAGAGCCATGATCACCTACATTCTGAAGGCACACAGTACACAGTTATAGTTATATGTACAATAGTGAGCAAAATTTAGCGAATGTACCTGCAAATGAACAGTCTGTCAAGGGGATGGTAGTTCTTTTGACATGATTATTACTGTCTATATTTCTAAGATGGGGTATTATGTACACTATTTACATTATTCAGACTATTGTCCTCAAGGGGATCCTTCAGTATCTGTCTATATTTCTTTTTACATTACGGACTATTGATTATTTATCCTTCAGTATCTCTATATTTCTGAGATGGGCTATTATGTACACTATTTACATTATTCAGACTATTGTCCTCATCTTTGTTGCTATATTTATCCGATCCTTCAGTATCTGTCTATATTTCTGAGATGGGGTATTATGTACACTTTTACATTATTCGGACTATTGTCCTTACATATTTATCTGATCCTTCAGTATCTGTCTATAGTTCTGAGATGGTGTATTATGTACACTATTTACATTATTCGGACTATTGTCCTCATTTTTGTTGCTATATTTATCCGATCCTTCAGTATCTGTCGATATTTCTGAGATGGGCTATTATGTACACTATTTACATTATTCAGACTATTATCCTCATCTTTGTTGCCATATTTATCCGATCCTTCAGTATATAGTTCTAAGATGAGGTATTATGTACACTATTTACATTATTCGGACTATTGTCCTCATCTTTGTCGCCATATTTATCTGATCCTTCATTAGTTCTGAGATGGTGTATTGTCCTATTTCAATGGACTATTGTTCATCTTTGTCGCCATATTTTTGATCCTTCAGTATCTGTCCTGAGATGGTGTATTATTACACTATTTACATTATTCGGACTATTGTCCTCATCTTTGTCGCTATATTTTCTGATCCTTCAGTATCTGTCGATATTTCTGAGATGAGGTATTATGTACACTATTTACATTATTCAGACTATTATCCTCATCTTTGTTGCTATATTTATCTGATCCTTCAGTATCTGTCTATATTTCTGAGATGGTGTATTATGTACACTATTTACATTATTCGGACTATTGTCCTCATCTTTGTCGCCATATTTATCTGATCCTTCAGTATCTGTCTATAGTTCTGAGATGGTGTATTATGTACACTATTTACATTATTCGGACTATTGTCCTCATTTTTGTTGCTATATTTAACCGATCCTTCAGTATCTGTCTATATTTCTGAGATGGGGTATTATGTACACTATTTACATTATTCAGACTATTGTCCTCATCTTTGTCGCCATATTTATCTGATCCTTCAGTATTCGATATTTCTGAGATGGGCTATTATGTCTATTTACATTATTCGGACTATTGTCCTCATCTTTGTTGCCATATTTATCCGATCCTTCAGTATCTGTCTATAGTTCTAAGATGAGGTATTATGTACACTATTTACATTATTCAGACTATTGTCCTCATCTTTGTCGCCATATTTATCTGATCCTTCAGTATCTGTCGATATTTCTGAGATGGGCTATTATGTACACTATTTACATTATTCGGACTATTGTCCTCATCTTTGTTGCCATATTTATCCGATCCTTCAGTATCTGTCTATAGTTCTAAGATGAGGTATTATACACTATTTACATTATTCAGACTATTATCCTCATCTTTGTCTATATTTTTCCTTCAGTAGTCTATAGTTCTGAGATGGTGTATTATGTACATTATTTACATTATTCGGACTATTGTCCTCATCTTTGTCGCCATATATTTATCTGATCTTTATTATATTTTTGAGATGGTGTATTATGTACAATTATTTACATTATTCGGACTATTGTCCTCATTTTTGTTGCTATATTTAACCGATCCTTCAGTATCTGTCTATATTTCTGAGATGGGGTATTATGTACACTATTTACATTATTCAGACTATTGTCCTCATCTTTGTCGCCATATTTATCTGATCCTTGTCCGATATTTCATCTTTGTACACTATTTACATTATTCGGACTATTGTCCTCATCTTTGTTGCCATATTTATCCGATCCTTCAGTATCTGTCTATAGTTCTAAGATGAGGTATTATGTACACTATTTACATTATTCAGACTATTATCCTCATCTTTGTTGCTATATTTATCCGATCCTTCAGTATCTGTCTATATTTCTGAGATGGTGTATTATGTACACTATTTACATTATTCGGACTATTGTCCTCAGATTTATATTTATCCGATCCTCCAGTATCTGTCTATATTTCTGAGATGGTGTATTATGTATTAACTATTTACATTATTGGACTATTGTCCTCATCTTTGTTGCTATATTTAACCGATCCTTCAGTATCTGTCTATATTTCTGAGATGGTGTATTATGTACACTATTTACATTATTCAGACTATTGTCCTCATCTTTGTCGCCATATTTATCTGATCCTTTACTATCTGTTATTTGAATGCTATTTACACTATTTACATTATTTGGACTATTGTCCTCATCTTTGTTGCCTATTTATCCGATCCTTCAGTATCTGTCTATATTTCTGAGATGGTGTATTATGTACACTATTTACATTATTTGGACTATTGTCCTCATCTTTTCACCATATTTATTACAATGTTACAGCCATTGTATGCTCAGGCCTTCTTCAGCTAGTTGGAATGTCAAATTGAACCTTTTATTTCGCTCCCTGGGGTAGACTGTTCTAGTTCCATGTGCCATGTTTTAA